CTGGAAAAGGACAAAACATAACATTAATTACAGGAAAATCAAGCTACATTTGAATATAAAGCGAAATCACGATATTATCTAATCAAAAGAAAAAAAATGAGATACTTGAAGAAAAAAAATCACAATCACATTGAAAATATTTGGTTAACAAGGGAAATCTTTATTCACACTAAATCAAGCCAGAGAACCAAATTTTCTTGAAAGAAAAAGAGAAATGAATTGAATTTCACGGTCGAACAAAGCCATCTGTTCATCTCAAACTTTATGCCAAGATGCTTGCAAACTTCACGACCTGACACAGGATATCAAATGCTTGAAAAGGCAAACGAACCTCGAAATCTTTTTAAAAAATCGAAATGTGTAAAGATTACGTACGCATCGCCAATATTTTCTTGACAATACACGAGTGACTGTAAATTGTTGCCAATTCATTATCATAGGGAGTTAAAAATTAAAACGGAGATTGTAAGTCACTTTGTATGCCCATCCTGGGAATACGTCACATTTATACTTTTTCACCATTTTTTAATTAATCATTTACAACTTAACTTGAAAAAAAATATATGTTTAAAAAAAAATGACTACAATATAACTTAAAGAATATATTTCCACAGGAAAAATACGATAAAATAAACGTTTCTATGAAAGATAATTTCATCGTGCGAATTGAAATCTCCATATTCAACATTTTTCTATTCCTATTTACTACACAGACTTCTTACGTTAAATATGCTTTTGAAGATTGGAAAACATGACACTAAATATCCTTCTATTACGTCATTCATTCAGAAACGACTGAAATAAACGCAGATAAACTCGTAAACGAAATAAACTCGTTTGTCTCTCCGTTGAATTACAGAAAATATAAAGACGAAAAGGCACTATAACAAAGATACTTTTTCATTGCCCAGAGTAAGAAGAGATTGTTTAACAATGCGTGTTAAAAAAATACTACTTATTTTCCAGTCAAAACATAAATCACCGATGTAGTCATGGAAGTAGAAACATATCATTACTGGTTATAAATATACGAAAACATACGCAGATACGTACGCGAGCAACCAATACAAATACACAAACACACAAAAAACACCAACCCTCTACACCAACTCGTATATTTTCCAGCTAAAAAGATAAATCACCGGGGTAGTCATGGGGCAAGATAACCTGTAATCGTTCTTAAACACAAAAACACACACATACGCAGTTGCTCGCTCTCTCTCTCTCTCTCTCTCTCTCTCTCTCTCTCTCTCTCTCTCTCTCTCTCTCTCTCTCTCTCTCTCTCTCTCTTTCTTTCTCTTTCTTTCTCTTTCTTTCTTTCTCTCTCTTATTCTCTCTCTCTCTCTCTCTCTCTCTCTCTCTCTCTCTCTCTCTCTCTCTCTCTCTCTCTCTCTCTCTCTCTCTCTCTCTCTCTCACACGCACACGCACACACACGCACATACATATATACACGCACATGCATCCACGCGCGTGCGTACGTCACCCGAAACATCCGGGCGCGCAGGTGCACGTCAGTCCTACGAAGCGCCCCTGCACGGAGAGGACGAAGCGCTTTAAAAGGCAGTCACTACTTAACCCGTAATTAACAAGCGGGCGAAATCTGCATAAGCCGCTGGCGATCTTTTAAAAAGAACCATTGGCGCGGGCGTCCCTTGGATTATGACCAAGGGGGAAGGAGGGGAGGGGGAGGGGGAGGGGGGGTAATGTGTCAGCAGTGCCGTTAACACGAGCGTCAGCCCTGTTCATTTTCGAGACACACTCATTATGGAAAAACGACTTTTTGGAGGCTGCGCTCGGGAAATGGCCAAGAAAATATGCACAACGAAATGGGGGTCGTTTTGAAATCGATTTGTCACTGTCAACCAACACTTGTTCGCTCGTTCTCGCGCTCTCTCTCTCTCTCCCTCTCTATCAATCTCTTCCTCCTTTCCTCCCTTTTATCTCTCGGAAAAATCAACCGGAGGGGAATGAGATCAGGTTGCAAATACTACTGGAGCAGGGGGGGGAGGGGGTGCTTGCTCTGCGACCGAGAGCAATTGCCTTCCTGTGCACTTGAAAGAGGCCTTCTAGGATTGCGGAAAAGAACGTGTGTTGGATGATCTAAAATGGGGAAGAAGAAAAATCAACAATGAATTGAATATATATATAATTCACAAAACATTGAAGATATTTCAATAGTTTGCACTAAGAATACTATTTACAATTGCATGCGGTGCCGTGCTCCACAATCAACTTCAAATGTTTTGCCAATTAGTCCATTCGTCTACTTTATGTACGTCCATTCTGGGGCTCTTTCGTGTGTCAAATATGGAATTTTACTTAAATTATCAAGGTTACTGAGATCAATCTGCATTTACCTAATCGATGCGAGCTCGCAGGTCAAACAACTTTTATTCCACATTTGTCTGTTGTTATCTAACGTGTGTTCAATCTTGAGTGTTTAACTGATAATGTTCTTTTGTGCTGTTAGAACGAACTCGTAAGGTTTGAAGGGTCAGG